TTATCAGGCTTGTATCTTTTAAGAAAAAAATTTTGGAAGGGGGGTCCCAACTTGTCGCGTCCGTCACATTTTTTTGAAAATGCTCCAAAAAATCTTTTAACAGACTTTAAATGCATTTTTGTTAAAGCTGAGACCGTCCTTAACAAAACGATGTTGTCAAATCGAAAATTGGACAGAAAATGACTGAGTTATGTATAATTTTGTATATGCCCATATATGGGCATACGGCTCACTTTTAGCCATTTTTATCCATATTTCCATTATTTTGACTAAAACCAAGACAAATTGAAGTCAAATAAGGTTTGACTATGTTGAGTGTTGACTAGACTATCAAATAACATCATATGCAATTCAATAATTAAATTTACTGAGTTTTGCCATTTTATTTGCCTTGACCTTTTTCAGGGGTAAAAGGCACAAAAAATGGACTTTACCCTATTTTCGCATATTTTTGAAGTAAAAATTCAATATCTTCCACATTTTAAACACTAAAGTAATGAAACTTTTGGGAGATGGTCTCAACAGTGTGATGTGTTGAACAGAGATGAATGTTTTACCAGAGTTATAAATTTGTTCAAGTAGAGAAATAATTGCTGCCCCTAGATTGATACCCTAGTGTATGCCCAAAATGGACGATTTTGGCTATTGCAGACCTCGTGGAAGTACTAGCGGCCTAAAAATTGGCATTAATATAGAATGAAGGTCACTGAACAAGATAAAAGTGTCAAATAGAAGATTTGGAGAAATTGAAAAAAAACGTGTGTCCGTCACAGTCACGTCCGTCACAATTTGAAAATGGCGCCACGCAAACAAAAACTGAGCAATCTCCAAAAAAATGGTATCTCAGAAATCCCTAAACCTTTTTCTATCACTGCATGTCCAAATTAGAGATAATAGATAACGTTTTGAGATAGATTTGGGTACCTTCTGAGTAGACACCCAAAAAAAGTGTCATATTTAAGTCGCGTCCGTCACAGGGGTGCTATCTCAGAAAGTAATAATGGTAGGGGTCTGAAATTTTCACACAACCTATAGAAAGGTGAAATTTGGACTAATAAATAGTTTAAGCTGATAAAGAAGCAACATCCTGAGCACAACATTCGTTTGAACTTTTAAAAATGGCATAATTGTGGTGTCCGTCACGGTGGAATTGCCCCTAACACAATTAGAAATACGGCAAGAGTTAGATTTATACTTAACATGTGACCAAAACTTCTTAGTTATAAGCGCTGGATCATCACTATTAAAAAGATTATCTCTTATTTTGGCTGATGAGAGCCTCTTAAAATCTTTACGGCTAGTAACAAACTTTAACTCATCAGAAATAGAACCAGAAATTTTGAATTTAGCTCTGAGTCTATCTTTTTTACGGCATGAAGAAAAAAGTTCACTATCGAACCACGGGGGTTGGAACTCTGATTTAATAGTTACTTTAGGAATATGTATATCAACTAAATTCATAATGCAGTCTTTAACTAACTTCCAAGACGAATCAGGATCTAGGCATTCTAGGACTTGCCAATTAATCGAGCATAATTCACGATTAATCATGTCCCAGTTTGCTTTCTTAAAATTATAGATTTTACGTTTAGGAGTTTTCTTACGGGAAAAGGAGCTTTTAATTGAAAAAGTGACAGGAGAATGATCAGATTTGCACACGGAATGAGGATCACAGACATTCAAGTTATCGATTGTGTTATCATAATTACTGAGAAGAATGTCTAATGTATTACCACTTTTATGGGTGGGTGATGTGATCAACTGGGAGAGAGAAAGATCACTGAAAGAATCTATGAAGGATTGCTCAATAGGTACGGTACTGGATGAAGATAGCCAGTCTGTATGGGGGAGATTAAAATCACCAATAACATAGATTTTAGGGGGATTCTTTTTGGAAACTAGCTTGCGAATATAACTAACTATGACATCATGATTAGGTAACCCAAGAGTTCCTACTCTATAACAAGTACAGATTACAATACTCTCTTTGTTAGGAAAAGCAATTTTAACGGCAAGCATTTCTGCACCTAGGCTAACTGGTAGTCGGGTTGTAGTGGCGTCGAGATCAGACCGAACAGCCAAAAGAACACCACCTCCATTTTCCCTAAACTTTTTAGGGTTATTAGGATCTTGAGGATGAGTCTTTCTCGTGCGGTCGTTGCGGAAGATTTCATATTGAGAAGAAGGAAAGATTTCGTTGCTAGAAATAGACTTTTTGAGCCAAGTCTCATTTAGGGCAATTATGTCAGGCTGCTCTATGTTAGCAAAGGATTGAAGTTCTGAAATCTTATTACCATCAAGAAGGGGATGGGAGGAGCTTAGGTTACTGAAAGGAATAAGACCTTGGACATTTTGGTAAAAAGTAAAACAAAATTTAAGTAAAACAAAATTTAAATTTTATTGCCATATTAAAATGAATAATGATATCATAATAAACATAGTTAAACTTAAACATCCGATAATAAACTCATGAATATTGGATATGCTAACGAAATGTAAAATAAGCTTTTTACTATATAGTAGTGAATTGATTCACGATGTCAATCCTTCGCAGCTCGGTGAGGCACAGTGGTGCATCTCGCCGATCTACCGAAGGTGGTTGCGAGAAGCATTATTTGATGCGCGCGCGACCCAGTAGTGCATCGCGCTACAAAGTAGTGAACTACTCGAAGATTCGTCTCAATCATACATTTTTATCAGCGCAATTCAAACTTTAAATAAAAATTCTAGAGCAGAACGTTATTCAAAAATATATTTCCTCGACTGACTCGTTTCATAAATGTTTAAATTTTATAAATAAATAGTCCATAATTATTTGTTTCACGTTGTAGCCCTGCCGCGCACGAGTGCGCGGCTTTGTCATTCGTGGCTTTGATATATTGGCATAACAACATTTTTGTTGCACATGTTCCGAGACCATTTGTATCTCCATAACCTTCATGATTTGTGAAACGGACCCGGTAAATATATTCCATTGTACTTAATTCGATAAATTTGGTACCAAAAGTTGTCTAAAAATGTGAATAAAATAAATCCACCGTGTAGCAATTTTCGGAAAAAATGTACACGGCGCTTGTTCGCCGCGCGTGCTTTTTTCGCGCAAATTTTTAGTTTTTGTCCTATAACTTTCACATTATAAATTATTATCACATAGTTATTATGGTATCGTAATCAGCTCATCGAGACGAAACTTTTAGTACTAATATTTTAAGATTTAAAGGAATTTTTTTTCAAAAGTTTTTAAATATTATAATTTTGGTATCAAAAGTTGCGTCTGATTAAGCTCATTACGATTCTGTAAGAATTATTTCAAAATATTCAATATTTTAGGAGTTATAGGCATTTTAAGCAATAAATTAACCATTTTTCGTCCATAATACACTTTTGCAATGCACAGGAGGCCCACATACATCTCAACGAATCGTGCTACACGGTGAATTTTCATTATTCACAGTTAAAGGCAACTTTTGGTACCAAATTTATCAAAATCAGAGACATTCTGTGCCAACTCATGGCGCTTATTACATAGACTACGTGGCAAATGCGAGAATCACGGCGCTTGGTCAATTCTACTTTTATGTCTTGTATGGCTGATTTATGTCTTGTATGGCTGATGATTTGACAAAGAACTTTATTACTTAATATTACTTAATCACAGGACAAATTAGACCAGTAATTCTATTCATTAATTAAAATATATACAGAACAAAACCACGTTAGTAATAGTTACAATAAACCGGTATTTTGTAAGAAATTAAAATCATGAACTTCAAGCCAGTTATCTTTTAAAACTACTCTAGTAAAATGACTATTGGTCAACTTCGGTCGTGCTCAACTAAAATTATCATTTATCAAGCTATCGGTTACACAGATTATCATAGTACCGACGAGGGAAAAACTTAATATGGGTAATATGCTCTTGCAGAACGCTGATGTTCTACCCTAAAAACATTTAACGTGTCCGATTATTTATTGCAGCTTTTTTCATAAAGCTGTGCATGAAGGGTAAACATCGTCAGTATAGAAACATTCCAATGTATCATTATTAGCTAATAATTCGCGCTCCTACTACATACTAAATCGCTCGCCCAAATTTTAAAAAATTCTTGTGAAAAGGCCCTTTGGGTATGAAATTGATCAAAATCGGTGCATTTTTGGACGCTGATTCCGAATCACCCCCCATGACGTAGGGTAAAAATACTTCCCTGGAGAGTTATGGGCAAAAACCGTTTTGGTCACGTGACAGGCTAGTAAAAAATGAATTCGATTGTTTAGGGCTCGGGTTAGGATTGTAGTAAGGGTTATGGATAGCTTCGGGGTTATGGTTAGGGTTAGGGTTGGGATGAGGGTTTATGTAAAACCGTTTTGTACGGCTGCAAAACTATAAAAACCAAAGTCACGTGAAATTTTTGGGCGAGCGAATTAGTAAGAGCCAATAATTCGAGTAGGTCATAACTCGTAGCAGAGACTGAAATGAACAATCAAAATAGTATTACTATTTAAAACCATACTAAAATTATATGGACGATTTCGTGTTCTTACAAGTATAACTGACTTACGATTAAAAATGTGCGTCTTCAACGGCCGTTTCAAAACTACACTAATTCAGATTTCAACTTATATAATTCAATTTAACAATATTTATATTACGATGTCAAATGAATGGTGAATTCAATCAGTGCTTTAATCATTGCATCCAAGATTTAAACGTAAACTTGGTGAATTGAATAAAAAACATAAAAGAAAATTACTCAGTCGCCGTGACATAATTCATGAGATCGGGATTAAACGCCACAAAAACAGCGCCATAACTACGAGTACAGCACATAAAACTAACTTTATCAATAAGACGGTTCCGACGTTAGTTCAATATCCTAACATTGTTTAATCCCTAAGAGAATTTTTACCATTCTTTACACGTCGGCCGTTAAAAACATGGCCTTAACAAACAGAATCAGAAGAATAAGGGTCTTAACTAACTTCCTTTTATAGTCTATATAATATGATCAAATATAAGTTTGCGTTTACTTCCCTATTCTGAGTAAATTTAAAGTTTTTATAAATTCCCGTTGTTTAGGTTGCTCTACTAACTAAATATAATTATAAAACTTTAAAAAACAATGATCAAGGTAACACTAGATTAACAAACGTTCTGAATATATAGCAAGATGTATCCCAGTCCGCAGATTAATTTTACAGATTCTTCTCATCACAATATCTTCAACTTTCATAAAAAATTACCTTCAAGCATTATTACTTCTCGTGGTTGGAAATGAGGTAAAAATGTCGGATAAATTATGGGAAACAGGATTTGAGGCGGACAAAGCAGCTGACCTTCATTACGACAGGGCAACACTTCACAGAACTTAAATAACAAGAAATTAGGACCCATGGCAGCCTCACAGATTTATTTTTGGCTTTGGTGGCGGGACCGGCTTTGGTAACGTATTGGTTTTCTTGTCGTGTCCCTTGGCCCTCAGTAAGATGGTTTCGAAACTGAAGTCCTCGGACGGACTGTCTGACCGAGCGGGCAGATTATCATTTCCGTCCAGAAGATTGTTCCGGTTCTTGTTTGCCCGGCTCGTAGGATTAACGGCACAAAAGTTGGCCGAGGAGCCGTTTGTTTGATGCCGGAGCGAAGGTATGACGGGTTTTTGGGGGAGGGATTGGGGGAGGGATGACGGAACTTTGTGTTGCGGTTTGGGAGACGGATGCAGTTTTGGAGACTGCGGTAGTTTTGGAGACGGACAAACACCAGGTGGCGGTTCAGTCACTTTGTTATTTTCTTTATTGTTAGACCGCCGAGATTGTCGGTTTTTTAGCTCATGAAGGAGGTCGGTTCCGCTTCCTGAGGTTGACGAAACCGAACTTTGCGGACTGGAATTTCCAGGGGTTTTATCTTGGTCTAACCGGAGACTGGAACCAGAGTTGGAACTGCACTCGCTGTTGGACCTGTTTTTGGTGAGCTCAGAGCTCTGAAGCTGATACGGTGCAGAGTGTTGAGGAGGTGTGGAGCGCATCATCTGGTGACTCTGCTGCTGCATCATCTGCTGCTGCTGCTGCCGCAGCCACATTTCCTGGTGCTGTTTCTGCGCTAAGCGCTGTTGCTGCAACTTCCTCTGCTGCATCTGCTGCTGGATCTGGTGTTGCTGCTGGGTCAACTGCTGCTGTTGTAGCTGCTGGAGCTGCTGCTGTGACAGATGATGACGCAGCTGTTTTGAGTGACTACTGGGGCTCTGGCCGCGATATGGCTGCTGCTGCTGTTGTTGGCCAGCATAGCCTGGGTAATGGTGAGGGTTGTAGAGCTGTCGGGGCTGTTGTTCTAGGTTTATGAGTTGAGGGTACTGATCGTAGTTATTGTACTTGTTAGGGGTACTGCGGCCTGAGGAGGTTGGAGTCTTGTGTCCTGGGGCAGGGGGCTGTTGTTGTCGCATCCCCCCGTATGGGGTTTTGGGGCTGCCGCGTCCAGGCGGCAACGAATCAAATGACATCTGTTTAGCGAGATTGTCGGGGGTTGCGATGCCGCGGTAACTTGACCTCTTCTCGCCTGAGGCTGAAATAAGGGTTAAGTTAGAATTCTTCTATTTTTCCATTATATAAATTTTAATTAACCAATCAGAATCGAGAAGACAAGAAGTGCTGAAAACTGGCAATAATTGTGCTGAAAAATAAATAGTGTTTTTATTCAAATTTGAAACAAGGGAACCTCAGAAAAATATAAAATAGGAGTTAAGAATTTAGATAAGCTTGAAGACCACTCATAACTTTACCTCTTAATACTTAATGAAAATTCATCCAACTGCCTGTGCATAAACGTTGAACGTTATGGAACATTAAATTAGGATTCAAAACAATATACATCTTTGATGCTTCGATGAACACAATCATTACCCAATAGGTTAATAATCATTACCCAATACGGTACTGATTACTGAGCAGTGAGCACGTATATAAATATAACTATTAGGGGGGGGGGGGGGCAACGCCCCAAAAGGCCCCAAAAAGCCCCGATTTCTAGGGCCCTTTTTGGATTTTCGATATGTGTAGGGCCTTTTGGGGCCGTAGAATTAACTTTTTTTTATCAAGACACTTATTTTACTTCGGTGTATTCCAACAGCCACATTACACAAGTGCAACCAGCCAATTACAGGAAGCCGAAGGATTTATTTGGCCAGTAATAATTTCATCAAGTTTGATATATGCTAAGTGCTTTAATGATATTATCTGACTACTTGCACAGTACTTTTATGTTTATTTGAGTGTATTTACATGGAGATTATGGTCCATAAACACTATCAAATAGTGGTCAGGGTCATAAGGCCCCAAAAGGCCCCGATTTCTAGGGGGCCTTTTGGGGCGTTGGGCGTTGGCCCCCCCCCCCCCCCTATTACTAATGTATTATTTAACAAGGTAAAGTAGTGCCACCTACCCTTGGTCAGGTTAACCGCACTGGGGTCGACCGGTGCCGACTTGGACCGGTCCGTACGGTGAGCCTTGTTAGGCGAGAGTGGCCGCGAGGCGGGACTGGTGGTGGTGGTATCCTCCTGCAATGTTCGCTGAACTTCTGCGGAGAAGGAGGTTGGTTAGGTAAGGTTTACAAGAAACGGAGACATGTTTATTATTCAAGTTAATTCGGGAAGTTGCAGAATTTAACTTATTTAGCTCAAATACGGTGCAGTTGAAAAATATAAGTACATTAAGTACATTAAGTACATTAAGTACATTAAGTACATTAAGTACATTAAGTACATTAAGTACATTAAGTGCATGTTCAATTATCTTGTCTCGCGTCGCGTAACCTGATTTTGTTAATTAAAATGCAATTTCAACGTTCGTCTATCATAACAAAGGCATGTAGCCGAAATATCGACAATGTATTATGTTTTATATAAGGCCTAATGCCTTGTAGTACATCATAATATCATCCCACGCGACTGAAGCTGAAGGGGTGATGAATTTATCTCCCGGACATAATGTTTGCATAACAAACTGTAAGGATAATTATTTCTACTGAAGGAGGATGTTATAGAATTAATGCTTGATTTTAAACATGACTTTTGATAATTTGATGTTCGAATAGGTGAAATGAGTGAAAATGCTGTTAAGCGAGGGATCACTATAAGCAGTGATAAGTGTTCTAAAAAATAGGGGGTTCGGCGCCAATGGCATAAAATGGCATAAAATGGAGACTTTTTCTATCGAAAAATGGGAAAAACCTTGAGTAATTCTCCATTTTATTCCATGTCATGCCATTGCCCCCCCCCCCCCCCCTGAGATCATGTGTAAAATGAAGGATCACGGGTAAAATGAGAGATCACGGGTAAAATTAGGGATCATGTGCGTTCTGCCGAATCAAGTGACAGCTCACCAATGTAAGTGTAACGGTATCTACGAACCCTGCCTTTAAAAATATACATATAACATGCAAATATTTGAAACAAGGATGAAAACTCATGCAAAACATTTAAACATCATGCACAGAAAATAAAGCAATCCAGATACAAAATAGTACATTCGGGTATGAGTATAACATTTAGGCCTCAAGTCCTGAAACATTGGACTTATGACACAAATACTTCAAAAATAAGTTGAAATACCTTCTTCGACAGAGGATGTGATGAACATGTTCTCGAGACGTTGTGTTATTTCAGCAAAGGTGGGTCTATCATCGGGCTCCCATTTCCACGTATCCTCCATTAATGTGTACACCTGGGGAGGGAAGTGGGTTATTTGGGCATTTCGGTTGAGGAGGGAAGTGGGATATTCGGGCATTTTAGTTGAGGAGGGAGGTGGGTTATTTGGGCATTTCAGTTGAGGAGGGAAGTGGGATATTTGGGCATTTCAGTTGAGGAGGGAGGTGGGTTATTTGGACATTTTAGGGGATTGCAGTGGACGTTTCAAAGCTGGGGACACGATTTTAACATATACATTATACCATTATAGTAATGGAATCCTGGTTAGATATATCCTGATATCCACTATACGAATCTATTATATACAACATCTAACTTAACCATTTGTCTTGTAAAAGTACCTGTTCAGGACAACCATCAGGACGTTTCATCCTGTACCCAGTTTCCAGGAGTCCCAACACCTCCTGTAGATCTATACTAGGGTAGGGTGTGTCGCCCTGCGTAGCTAACTCCCACAATACTATACCAAACGCTGGGGTAGTTGAGGTTAGTATGTGATGTGGTTGTGTAGATTTATTCGGGAGTTTTTTGGGGAATCAAATTTACCGCTCCACATTTCAACTATTATCAATATCATTTCCAAAGAACAGTGAACAACAAAGCAACAAGGCACTGAGTACTCACACCACACATCAGACTTCATGGTGAAGGTGTTGTAGTTGAGTGCCTCTGGTGCTGTCCACTTTATGGGGAACTTGGTGCCTTCTCTAGCTGTGTACGAGTCCTCGTCCAGCAGACGGGACAAACCAAAGTCGCAGATCCGTATTGTCATGTTCTCTCCGACCAGACAGTTTCTACAAGCCAGATCTCTGAAGGGAGGATGGGTTGAGGGGAAGGAGAGGAAATGCAAGTAGTTTGAGATGATGTAAGGAAAATGTGGATGGTAAATTGAGTTCATGATAAAAGATGGATTCATAATTTCTATCACGTTTAGTAAATGGCTTGTTTATGGGAAATTACTAATTAATAATGATAAGGTGTACTTAACACATGTGCTTCACTGCTTGAGTAAGTAAGCAAATACCTGTGAACTAAGTTTTCTTTCTCGAGAAAGCACATTCCAGCTGCAATTTGACTGGCAGCATGTAACAAATGCTCGCTCGTCATCTGGTCTCTATTGTTCCTGAAATATTTCAACCTCACATTTTCTGGCGATTTTCCAGTAAATTTTCAGAGGACAATCAAGAATATTAATTTTAAACGCACATAATTGTGAACGTGATTCATTTTTTAAAAGTAGATCAATTGAAATGTTTGAAAACTGTAACTATCTAAAAAGCTTCTAACAGTAACCTGATGTATTCTAGGAGGTTTCCCAGCGGCATGTACTCGGTGATGATAAATATAGGTTTCTGCAGACTACAGATCCCCAACAAGTGGAGCAGGTTGTCATGTTTCAGTCGCTTCATCAGACCTGCTTCCTTCAGGAACTCTTCCTGGCTGGCTGAGTCTGACTGGAGGAGAGAAATGGTTAGAACTTGATGTTGGCAGGAAGACAAATATAATAGGTCCTATAAATAATCCTTGAGGATTTAGGCGCGGTAAAATAGCATTATCATTATTATCATTTGTGTACAACTTTCTGAAAATTACGCACAATGAATCATTCTTATTTTTCCGCAAATAACGTGAATTTACGAATTTTCTCTGTGCGACTTAAAGCGATGAATCGTTTTAGGCCAAACTTTAATAAAGTAATTCTCAGAGTGACAAGTCCATCTGCCGCTGATTAACTTTTTTAGACCATGTGACCTAGCCTAATAGCCTAGTAGCCTTGTGTAGAGGCTGAATTTCAGGTGTGCTGAGTAAACTACCTGTAAGTAGTGTCCAACAGGTTAATTACTTCTAATTACTTAATTACTTCTAATTACTTAATTACTTAATTACTTAATTACTTTTATAATCTCTTGATAGCATCTTAAAAATGAGATCTATTTCACTACACTCAGCCGATTAAACTTGTTAAGTTCTCTGAATATTTATAGTTTGAAAAAGTACACGGGGCAACTGGCCGGGTGCAGGTGGGGGTGTGCATCTTCAAGCTTATCAACATGTTACATTTTAGTCATATCGTTTGTTATTTAGTACCACTATTATTGATTTACAGTTTTAAGAAGACCGTAAAATGCTATTTTTAGTGCCTAAGGAGCCAGATTATGAAATTTTCTCTAAAAGTAAATACTTGGTAATGGTGATTGCAGAAATTTCAAATTGTTAAAATATAACGTTGAGTCGCGACCAAGAATGATATTTGATATTCCAGCTGTAGCTAACAGATAATGGTCTGAAAAACACTACCAAATAGACACGAATACTTGGATTGTACAAATTCTAGAACATGAGATCAGTCCATGATGATGGCATAGAATTTCCTTTCAAATAATAAAATAATAATAATAGGATTATGGCCACATAGCCATCTCGACAAAACTTGAAACCCAACTGCACTCTACGCTATTGCAGTTCGCACAATATTATCAAAAAAATTAATTTTAGTAATCTGAAAAATAAGTGATTTCAAGTACCAAATCATTGAGTAGCTCAAATCACCTACAATTACATTACCATCCCGTGTATCACAACTGATGATCAGCCTATATCATGGGACCGGCCACCTAAAGCATTGGAGTTTGATAAATCCCGTACTTCATAATGTTAGGTTGCTCTGAATTAGCCGAACATTTCAACTTTTCTTTCGGTGTGCGACACTGTGTCTTTCTGTTGGATCGTTGAACTTGATGCGATGACTTTTTGAAAAAGGAGCTTGTACTGTGATCTTAAAATTAATCTATTTTCATGCCAAAATTTGCACGTTTTAGCGAGATGCAATACGTAACCTTCTCCTTTCACAGGATAAAATTCAGACAACATGAAAACAAATAATCAGACGCTTCTTGGAATTAAAGACGATGTGGAACAGAGCGTTTTAATTTTGTGGAGCGCAACAGTCCTGTTAACCTCGCTCATTGGGGATAGTATCATACTAATCGCCACGAAGTACAATGCAATAAACCAACACAAGGTGATCGTAGCAATTATGCAGCACCTTGCAGTATGCGACCTTCTGCAAGCTGTTTTGAAAGTATTTCCGTCAATCCTGTCATTCACAGCTGATCGCTGGGTCTTTGGTAGATTCCTTTGTCACCTCGACGAAAATATCAGTTTAGCCAGCCGAGAATTGGCCTTTTTCCTAACCTGCACTCTCGCCACCGTGAAGGTGATTATGGTGATGTATCCCCTCAAAACTGGAGCTTGGTCCTCAACAAGGCTGGGACACAAAATATGCGGGGCCGGTTGGGTGTTAGTGTTGTGTTTATGCATTCCAATGGTAGTGGTTCAAATGCTTTACCTTAGGGACACACTCTACTTCAGTTACATCAGCTATGATTGTAACTACAATCGGAACATTCCCAGTTGTCCATCATGGTTTAGATTGTATGGGAAAGTCAGATTTGCTTCCAGCACTTTGCTTTCATTTACCGTCCTCCCTGTCACATCGTTTATACTCTTGTGGGTTGCTGGAAAGGTTGCTAAACGCCAGGGAGGATCATTGCGCTGGGAGGGAGTGAGGACAGTCCTTCTAGTTGTCGGAGTCTTCTTCATCTCCTATCTGCCCTGGGGCATAGCGTACGCTACAGGGAATAGCAATCCTAGGGTAGGGCGTGCTACATATTACCTCACATCCTAAATACCATGTCAAATTTCTTCGTGTACTCCCTCTCAGTTCCGAGTTTTAGAAGGTTCTTGAAAACGAAGATCTGTCCTCTTATCTGCTGGCTCTTCTCGGCAAGACCACCCATACAACAAAGACAAATACCTCTTCAAGGACAAGGGGAACATTGATCAAATCAATTCCGGACCCAGCCTCAAAACCCTTTTGCAAGAAAGCATGGATCGTGTAGAGAATTGTGTATCCTAACAAGCAGCAAGTGTTGACTACAAGCTCAGCTTTTCTTTTTATTTTCTGTGTTTGATGATAAACTACAGCGAAATTTTACAATTTAGGGATTGGATTCAAAATCTGCTTAAACATTATGAGAATCCTCCGGACATCCAAATACCAATATTACGTAGAGATAGCAACCATCTCCAGAAATGTAGCCCTACTCTCTAAACTCTAATCCTACAGTGCAGTTATTAGACTAGGTGTAAGCTGTTAGAAGTATCACGTACCCTGGAAGTTGTACAAAAATAATATTTTAGCACGTCCATTTACCGTTTACGATAAGCTCGCTATATTTCATTATCTTTTATTTATCTGGCGCCGTAGTTACGATAAGCCACTGCTTGAATACGTTTGTTGACCAATAAGATGTCCGGAAAGACCCCCACGTGACAGCTCTGTTTTGTCATTAGAGCCAAATTTTGAGTTTCGATACCACAATTTTGAGTTTCGATACCATTATCAGTATCGCAGTGACATTCTTATTTGTTTTTTTTTACCAAATTTCCTATGCTGCTAATTCAAAATAATTTGCTTTTATTCTTTAAAAAATTGACTAGTTACGCATTTGTCCTCTTAAATGGTCCTGACTCCTGAGGTACTCCTCACATTTTATTCACCTTTTTACATTTCCCAGTTGGAATTACTATTTTCATTGCCGAAATGATTCAGTGATCCGATTTTTGGACCGAATATAGAATTTTACCGATTGACTCAAATTGTTTAAATGCACGATGAATTTGCTGCAGGATTTACCATTAAATTTGTTGACTATATCAGACAATACAAAAAACAACTGCCGCACCCGAATCTATTTATATATCAAAACAATTCAAATTTGTAAAGGAGCATCTTAATATAATTTTAAATAATTTGTAGTGAAAGTTTACCTTGAGAGTTTTGACAGCAATAGGAATACCGGCTGTTTTACCCCTGTCCTTGAACCATTCTCCTTTGTAAACTTCACCGTACTGTCCACTACCCAGTTTCTCGCCTGAAGATAAGGTAGAGGTTTATGATATTAATTAATCAGCGGAACTTTTTTATTACCAAACCAAACGTTCTTTCCTAATGAGAAAAGTAAAAACTTGTATATTTCATAATGATCTGGTTATAAATGAGGAAATACTCTAAGTTGTATTTGATAAACTAATTTGGAGACGGTTAAGTGTTTTATGAAAAGGAAATAGTTGAATAAAGCACCATGATTGCGTTTGGTGCGTCACAAACGGCAATCCTTTATGTCAATTTCTATATATAAATTACATTTAACCAGTACTAGGAATTTCATCGGAGAATTTCCCAGAAACACCATTTGAATTGAAGATCCCTGATATCTTCTTATAAAATGTTGCATAATAGCCCAACAAAATATATATTCTCATCTCAAATTTATGCACCCTAGCTCTGTCTGGGAGACCGGAAAATTCTATAGAATATCATCGAGTAGCAAAGAGCAGTCAGGAGAAATAGTCAAGGGCCTCAAATATTTCAGTGAGTCAGGTAAGTTGGCAGGAACAGCAGACTGAAATTCTACATCCTATCAGATTGACAAAAAATGCAACTTTTTACCGAACATCACTTCTAGGTTGTCAACCCGGATACGGTTTTAGAGCTTCAATAGTTGTGCCATGTTGTATCGAGTGTTGTGTATTTTGCTGGTGGCGAGTGTCGTGCTGTACTCGTGTGTCACAGCAGAGTGCTGTGTTTCAGACCCTGCTCTGTGCTATGGTAGGGAGTGTAATGACGAGTGTTGCGAGTGTCAGCCTGGATCATGTCTAGACAGAAGATTTAAATGTGACTGGATTGAGTGAGTATATAATGATGGTGATATTGATACTTGATAAGAGCTTTAACGATTGTAACTGCACGTCAAGTGTCATGCTTACGCCATCTATATGGTGCTTTATTCAAAAGATTCATAACATTTGAGTGTAGCTAAATTATTTCAGATGTGCGGTGATAGTTGGAGAATGCACTGTGGAATGCTGTTTCGGAAGCTGTCTAATGGACCCATATTGTTTGACATGTCTAGGCTCCCTGTATGAAGACTGCTCAGATTGCTTCTGGTATCTCGACAATGCTGACCGGATGAAACTTCTCAAGCGCGTGGAGAGGGTAGATCGGAACGAGAATGATACAGAATGATGATTTGTTGGTTTCAGTGCTACCAGACAACACGTTAGAGATTCCGTTTTAAAGACAGCAATTCAGGATTGGACACGTGCCAAATATCGATTTATCGACAGTGACCATGTTATTTAACATTGTTATTTAACATTGTTAAATAGTATTGACGTTTTAACCAGTAGCTAATATTTGGGGTAAATTAAAACTTACCCAACGTAATTGCGTCTCTATCAATCTCCCATTCGTCTGTTAGGTTGTCGATAGCAGGTTTTGACTCCTGGAGAAAGTAAACATCACAGTTCAATAAGATAATTATTACCGAATTATGTAATTTCAACAATTTGTGTACTAGGATGGGAAATTTTAAACTTCTTATAGTCAGTCCAAACTGGCTACATGACATGTTGCGTCTCATTGGTTAATGAAAATAACTTATAAATTCGTAATTTAACTCTCGTTGTTTATGGAAAAGACTTTTTCGTAAATTAACTCGGTTATGGCTATCATTTCATCGTAAGAATGTGCTAATAAGTGTGATTAATAAATCAAACATATGTTGAAGTTATAATTTTCGCCAAATTGGACTGATTATATGGTGTAATGTGGAAAAAATTACTATAATTTCGCACTTTTACACAATGCAATTTCCTTATTTCCTGCTCATACAAAAAACCAGAGCATTTAATTGATTCCCTATTTGGTGTCTGCACTCTTTTGAGTCCTAGAACATTTCCTACACAAATCCAAATATAGTCACTGACGCGGGAAGAATAGTCTTCATTCAGAAAAGCACACCTTTCCCTTTAAATCGGACGAATTGTTATGATAACATATTTCCGCAAACGAAATGGCAATCATCATTCGATAGAAAGGTTTATCTATGACCCGTTTAAGGAACAGTTCTTAGGGCTACAATCTCCTGGGTTACACGAAACCGGTGGAATTTAGGTTGGTATGATCAAAATAAGGTGTTTTTAATTAAACTACGCGCGTCGTCTGCGCGAAATTTGTAACACTTTTGATATATAAAATTCCTCGCGCCTTCCAGTATGTTGATTAGTTCTTCTCAAGAAGTTTGCTTTTGAGGCTTTCTACGGCTTGACTTGGAGAATACGTAACTACCCAACTCGATATGACATACATTACAAAATATTGTGCTCTCAATTCATTATCCTGGCGAAAGATAGTGTCAAATACTTTCAACACTGCGCAAATGTACTGGTTTTACTCCGCAAAATGTATCGTATATTTAGCAGCCTACACCACTGTAACAATCATATCACAATAACACAATGGTTGTAATTACCAAGTTGATTATTAATGATAAGTGCGATACAACAAAGAGAGCAGACAATTTCCTTGAGTTACAGTACAACTGTAGTGAACACAAGCTCATCAGCCAACAAATAACACTTGTCAATATAATGTGCAGTGTGTGCATAACTTGACAATTTCACAGGATATTGCGGATGTGTTCAGTGAATAATCCGGACCGTGTCGGAGCAAACTAATCGGCTTTCCAATCAAGAGGAAACTGTCAATTTGGTAGTTTCCTGCTGATTTACATCATTGAAGGAAATGAGACTAGCTATGAAGGAAATGAGACTAGCTATGAAGTTTCTATAAAAGAAGGAGATAACACTCACATTAGGAACAGGGTGAGTTAAAGTGGTGACGAGACCGCTTGAGTTAAGAGAGTGGTGGTGTATCAGCTCTGCTAAATCTTTAAACTGCGTGTCCTCGTTAATCCAGAACCGTCCCCCACGACTCTGCAAAATAAAACAGTTATTAATTAAATTAATTACAGTCATTAATTAAACTCATTACAAATGTATGTGTAATAGTAAGACGTAATGTTTAACTATCGCATTAAATCATTCCCACGCTATTTATTTCTCACAACTTTACAAATCATTAAATGACACAGGATGAAGCGCCCTGACTCAACCCCGCAATCCGTATTTACAGATATGGTAATAATGTTAAAACCCTGCACATTTGAAAGTAACATTGCTGCGTTGTTATGTAACTACAGTTCCAGTTGAGCTGGCTTGTAACTGAGCAAGGTGATATCATGACTTGTAGGTGTGCGCGTGCACTCTAACTAACAATGGGTTCATTACAATTTACCAACACTTCACCCCCACACACACACACCACACACACAATCACAGAGTTACTAGTGTCAGATGAATTGTCTGGTTTTGTATCGAGAACCAGATAATGTTCCCTACTAAATGCCTTGACAGCAGCAACATGATATCATGTCTGGATATAGCAACATGTTGTAAAGTTTGACGGTCTTGCTTTGCAGTCAACACACTGTGTGCCCAGACGAGACCCAATTCACGGAACTATCTGTGATACTGCTAGCAAAGTTTCACAAATAAACACAGGGAAACCTGCGTCGTACAATTCGAATTGAAGCACCACAAGTTGAACCTTAGCTACACTAATTTGGAATCCCACGCCCCAGTATATCTTAATAACTCCAGCATGTTGCGGTTTAAAACTGTAACCTAAAACGTTACCGTGCACCGACTCATACATCAGCAACTGCCAAATCAATGATTCTACTTCAGGGATCGTATAATCACAATCTACCCCGGCCCTACTTCATGTCTTACACACAGATCATGTAACGACTTGAGTGTATCACACGATATTTTCACTTGATTCGATTAAGAAGGATGACAAACGGTGAAGCGGCGGTTGTATAATTGATCGATTAAGTGTAATTTGATGTTTAATATGTACACGGCACTATTAAGACAATGACATGGTCGTTCTAGCGCTGTTACTTTTAAACAAAACAACTAATGTACTGTGTATTATGTTATGGTGCAGTGCAGTTAGTTATATACATGGTACAAGCAGCAAGATATATGGTACAGGCTAACGGTACGCACACACCGTAAAAGGGCGTGGTAAATAATACATAGTACAACAGGGTACAGGGTACAATATATAGGTGATAGGGTACAGACTACAGAGTTCACCCCTCCCTAATACCAACATTTAAAACACATGATTTGAAATTAACCGCTCCACTAACCATCCCACGAGTAACCAGTAACCATCTTACCAGTAACCAGTAACCAATAACCAGTAACCAGTAACCAGTTACCAGTAACCAGTAACCAGTAACCAGTAACCAGTAACCAGTAACCAGTTACCAGTTACCAGTAACCAGTAACCAGTAACCAGTAACCAGTAAACTGTTACCAGTAACCAGTTACCAGTTACCAGTTACCAGTAACCAGGTATGTAAAGATATCAGCAGGTCCCTGGCTCCACTTACACCGCATGTAACGTTACAATTTGCCACACAACGAATCATTACTTATATTGGATCCCGTAATGTAACTGGTACTACCGTGGAGTATTTATATCTAGTGACGAAATAAGGACCAACATTACCTGAACGGCAACATTATGTTATGTCCGTGATCTTTACTGTTACACTCCGACGAAAAGGAAGAATCTCCTGGCACTGGTACAAATTTCATTACAAATCATACTGTGGTGAGGTCATCAATCCGGCGTCACCTTAGTTTGCTCTTACTTAGTTTCTCCTGTTACACGCTCCCCACATAAATAAATAATTAGAAGTGGTAACCTGTAAAACAAATGACCTATTCTAAGTACGCAGCACACTGCGGCTCATGCTGCACATTATTCTCTGTAAGCACTATGTAGTTACTCTGTTACTGATCGGTCAATGATTATAAACCAGACATCATGATGTTTTGTACACATTAGATTATACATGTTCTGGCAATGCAGCAGGGATGATGCATTTATAATAGAAAGTCGGGGTGATATAATATTGTGATATATAGAGGTGCCAAGAGATAAGTAGAAGTGACAGCGAAGGTGGCAAATCCAAACATGGCATGATAGGATTGTTAGTAAATAGTATGACTTGTTTTAAACAGTATTATATAATGCAGTATGTGATGTTGTGGACTTGTTTGTATCGGCTTCCGTATTACATATATATACACAGTCACATTCCATTATAATGATACAGGTTTTTAGGGTGGCAGCTATGACGATGAATGTTTATTTATATTCCACGTTTTATAAGGCACTTGATCCTTAAAACTATTTACATTTTATAGCGATTTGAGGAACAACTTGGTGAGATCAAATTATTTTTATCCAGAATTTCGAAGCTAATTCTGCAGAAATACACTATGAGTTTTCACTAATAAGATTAATATCAAGGTTTAAATTTATACATTGTTGTTATACCATACGTTATTTTATAAAAATACAAATTAATATAATACAACTGCAACATTTGTGGGTATTAATATTAAGCTTATATTCTAGACATCTCATAAATACCCGACATTTAATATAGTTAGTAAAATGTACCCTACACATGCGTTTACTACTATAATTGCGTTACACTCACATTAATAAACCAATACTATTATAGGTGTGAAAAAGTACGCTTATTTGACTGGAGAAGGAGACGAATTATTCCATGTATAATAATGGAAGGAAAGGTTTAATAATACGTGACGGTGAACAGTCAATCAGATTCCAGCATTGGCCAATCAAAACACACAATCTGTATCACGTGTTAAAACATTGGCCAATCAAAACACACAATCTGTATCACGTGTTAAAACATTGGCCAATCAAAACACACAATCTATATCACGTGTTAAAACATTGGCCAATCAAAACACACAATCTGTATCACGTGTTAAAACATTGGCCAATCAAAACACACAATCTGTATCACGTGTTAAAACATTGGCCAATCAAAACACACAATCTGTATCACGTGTTAAAACATTGGCCAATCAAAACACACAATCTGTATCACGTGTTGAAACATTGGCCAATCAAAACACACAATCTGTATCACGTGTTAAAACATTGGCCAATCAAAACACACAATCTGTATCACGTGTTAAAACATTGGCCAATCAAAACACACAATCTATATCACGTGTTAAAACATTGGCCAATCAAAACACACAATCTGTATCACGTGTTAAAACATTGGCCAATCAAAACACACAATCTGTATCACGTGTTAAAACATTGGCCAATCAAAACACACAATCTGTATCACGTGTTAAAACATTGGCCAATCAAAACACACAATCTGTATCACGTGTTAAAACATTGGCCAATCAAAACACACAATCTGTATCACGTGTTAAAACATTGGCCAATCAAAACACACAATCTGTATCACGTGTTAAAACATTGGCCAATCAAAACACACAATCTGTATCACGTGTTGAAACATTGGCCAATCAAAACACACAATCTATATCACGTGTTAAAACATTGGCCAATCAAAACACACAATCTGTATCACGTGTTAAAACATTGGCCAATCAAAACACACAATCTGTATCACGTGTTAAAACATTGGCCAATCAAAACACACAATCTGTATCACGTGTTAAAACATTGGCCAATCAAAACACACAATCTGTATCACGTGTTAAAACATTGGCCAATCAAAACACACAATCTGTATCACGTGTTGAAACATTGGCCAATCAAAACACACAATCTGTATCACGTGTTAAAACATTGGCCAATCAAAACACACAATCTGTATCACGTGTTAAAACATTGGCCAATCAAAACACACAATCTGTATCACGTGTTAAAACATTGGCCAATCAAAACACACAATCTGTATCACGTGTTAAAACATTGGCCAATCAAAACACACAATCTGTATCACGTGTTAAAACATTGGCCAATCAAAACACACAATCTGTATCACGTGTTAAAACATTGGCCAATCAAAACACACAATCTGTATCACGTGTTAAAACATTGGCCAATCAAAACACACAATCTGTATCACGTGTTAAAACATTGGCCAATCAAAACACACAATCTGTATCACGTGTTAAAACATTGGCCAATCAAAACACACAATCTGTATCACGTGTTAAAACATTGGCCAATCAAAACACACAATCTGTATCACGTGTTGAAACATTGGCCAATCAAAACACACAATCTGTATCACGTGTTAAAACATTGGCCAATCAAAACACACAATCTGTATCACGTGTTAAAACATTGGCCAATCAAAACACACAATCTGTATCACGTGTTAAAACATTGGCCAATCAAAACACACAATCTGTATCACGTGTTAAAACATTGGCCAATCAAAACACACAATCTGTATCACGTGTTAAAACATTGGCCAATCAAAACACACAATCTGTATCACGTGTTAAAACATTGGCCAATCAAAACATACAATCTGTATCACGTGTTAAAACATTGGCCAATCAAAACACACAATCTGTATCACGTGTTAAAACATTGGCCAATCAAAACACACAATCTGTATCACGTGTTGAAACATTGGCCGATCAAAACACACAATCTGTATCACGTGTTAAAACATTGGCCAATCAAAACACACAATCTGTATCACGTGTTGAAACATTGGCCAATCAAAACACACAATCTGTATCACGTGTTGAAACATTGGCCAATCAAAACACACAATCTGTATCACGTGTTGAAACATTGGCCAATCAAAACACACAATCTATATCACGTGTTGAAACATTGGCCAATCAAAACACACAATCTGTATCACGTGTTAAAACATTGGCCAATCAAAACACACAATCTGTATCACGTGTTAAAACATTGGCCAATCAAAACACACAATCTGTATCACGTGTTGAAACATTGGCCAATCAAAACACACAATCTGTATCACGTGTTAAAACATTGGCCAATCAAAACACACAATCTG